TGTCTCTTCCTTATGTCAGCAGGCTGCTGAAGTTCGTTCAACGTTGTCAGGCGCTCGGATGAGGTGGGAGTAATCATTTTAGCTAAATTAAATGGAACCTTTGCTATTCTGATAAACACACCCATGCTATAAGACCAGGGCAGCAAGGGGGGGTGAGAAGACTGACAGAGGAGAGTTTGGGGAAGTCAGGAATGAGTTTGAGTAAAAGGCTGTTTCTGTTCCCCCTTAGTCAAGCCTCTGTCCCCTTCCTCTGCGATGCTCTGCTCCAAGTCCACGGAGCTGAGAAGTGTCCTCCTCTCTCGGCAGGTCTGTAAATATGACTATGTTGAGGTTCGCAGTGGGCTGGCTTCTGACTCCAAGCTGCATGGCAGGTTTTGTGGCTCCGAGAAGCCCGAAGTGATCACCTCGAATGGCAACAACATGAGACTGGAGTTCAAATCAGACAACACGGTCTCCAAGAAAGGCTTTAAAGTTCACTACTTCTCTGGTATGTGGCTGTATTCTTTCACTTGCTTAGCTCTGACTGAACCTCTTGGTTTTGGTGAACTTTCTTCAACCTCCTGTGAAGTCAGGCAGAGCCTGATGTGGTTAGTTACATGTAAAAAGCAGGGTCGCTCTGTGCTGTGTCACCTCTCGTCTTGGTTTCTCAGTGCGGTGTATGGCCCGGTTTCGCGGTGTCGAGTCAGCAAGGTGCATGGATTCCCTCAATGCCTCCAGTCCTTTCACAGCAGGAAGCAACGGGGAATGTGATCCTAAAGGTTATTTCTGTCCCCAGAGTCATTAAAGAAAAGCTTTTTCCTCTGAAACCAGAAGAGTTAGAAAACTTCCAGGAGTCTCCTGTATAGCAATCCCCCCCCATCAAAGCCGTGCCTGCTAGTGGAAGTTTCTAACCCTCTGTTCTGAATCCTTCATAGCTCTTGGTGTCAGCGAGGTACCTTGTTGGCAGGCAGTTTGCGAGGTGAAGTATGCGTTGTACGGACGTGGAAGCTCAATTCCATCCTGTGTTTTCAGCAGAGACCAAGGAGCGTTAATGTTTTTGTGGAGGATGATCAGGCAAAACGGCCTTGAATTGACAGCTGCAGAGTAGAATCAAGGCTGGGGGTTTGACTTGTGAAATCTAACACCAGGAAGGATGAGGTGGGATATGTTTCATCTAGAAACAGAGGAGGCAGATGAGGTTAATGAGGTTCAGGAAGGGCATTGGCCCAGAAAAATTGAAGAAAAACTGCCCGTAAATTAGAGTGGGCTGGAAACCGTGAGCAGATCCTATGCTCAGAACAGTGAGATGCAGGAACACGTAGACCTGAACACACAGGAGTGAGCATCCACTGGGACATATTTCAGCTGCACAGAGCAGCTCGCACCTTAGATCCTCTTCTCCATCTGGCTGCTTGTGCTACGGACGGAGCTGTTTAAAGGTGGAGGCTCATCGGAGTATGTAGGAACTTGAAAGTATAAAGACTGGCCAGTGGGCTTTTGCCTAGGCTAGTGAACTTGTGTGATGCTTTTCCTGGACCCTGTTCTAAAAGAAAGAGTTACTGGTTTCTTTTAGATAGGGGTCTTTAACCATTCAAAACTTACATTATGTAATACAGCACATTTATGATGCATTTTATGGAATGAAAAACAACTCAAGAGAATGGTATCTGGGCTAAAAAGCTGCCTGGACTAGTCCAGCAGCAGAGGCTGGAGGTCTGCACTGGTATCTGCCCCTGTGGGTGGGGGTCTCCCGGCTGGTGACTGCGGTGGCCGGTTTCTCACTGTCAGCTCAGTGTCTGATGCTTTGATCCTGCCCAGACAAGGACGAATGCTCCAAAGACAATGGTGGTTGCCAGCACGAATGTGTCAACACCTTTGGGAGCTATGTATGCCAGTGCAGAAATGGCTTCATGCTGCATGAGAATGGCCACGACTGTAAAGAAGGTAAGGTCCTCGCTCCTTGTGCTCGGGAAAGACAAGCTGCCTCAAACCCTGCTTGAGCCAGGATGCTTCCTGCCTGGTGTTGGAACCGTGCTTGTACAGCGTCCCAGGCTAGGGCACCAAAAAAGTCCCAGGTGGCTGAAGAACTACCTAGTAAAAGGAAGAAAGGGGCTTGTTTTCAGCTGGATCCATTCCCATTCTGGCCCTCCATGTGGCCACAGGGATGGACGGGGTGGGTGCAAGGAGCTGGGCTAGCAAGAGGAGCGTTTGTGAGACATCCTTACTAGACTAGTCACTGCTGCTTCGTTTAATTACTGGGCTCAGTCAGAAGAGAAAGGATGAGCTGATCTAACTGCTTGCTGTTGCCACAAATACCTTTCCTCCTGCGCCCGCACCCCTGCTGCACACTGCCATGGCCCTCCTGTACGGTCTCTGGTCCTCGTCTGATCTCTCTGTGAGCTGATTCAGCTTTCTGAGTCGGCAAAACAGCTCAAGGCTGAGATAGCACCAGAGCCAACGTGGTGGAGGGGTTGGACACTGTGTCACTGGGAATGGAGCAGATGGGATGGAGGAGCAGGAGAATACGATTGAGAGCAGGGAGGTGGGTGAGGTTACTGAGGCCCACGGAATGAGGTGGTCCATCTCACCAGCTGCCAAGTTAGCCCAAATAAGTGTAGGACAAACCCACCAGAACTACCCAGTAATGCTAAAAGGTCTTGTTCAGTGACTGAAACCTCCCCTGTTTCTGCCCTGTTGAGGGTCTTGTTGGGCAGAGAGGAGCGTGTAGGACGTTATGTGGTTCCCATGAGACCTGCCTCAAAGCCTGCATCTTGTGATCTCTCTCCCTCAAGCTGGTTGTGAGCACAAGCTGAGTGGAGCGGAAGGAACGATGAGCAGTCCAAACTGGCCTGACAAGTACCCCAGCCGAAAAGAGTGCACGTGGGACATCTCTGCAACGCCCGGCCACCGAGTGAAAGTCGTGAGTACCCAGCGAGCGGGAGTGTGAGGGGAGGAGTGGGCTGGTTGTGCGGAGCTGATGCCACTTTCCCCTGCTGCCGTGTGAGTGGGAGGTTGGTCCTCATTGGTCCTGTTCGGGATGCTCAGAGGATGGCATCCTGGGAGGCTGCCCCTGGACCACGGAAGGGCAGAAGGTCTCAGAGGGACACAAGGCAGGGGTGAGGCAGCTTGGAGGAGACTCCAGCAGACGACAACTGCGCTCTCTGTTAACAGAAGATATAGCATGCCCTCCTTGCGAGCCACTCAGTTGGGACCATCTCTGCAGAAGGTGGTGGCAGGGCCAGTCCCCGGCCCCTTGTAGGGAGAAGCGTCAGGCCCAGGTCAGTGGAAGTAATAGTGAAGAACTGCCCATGCAGTGTGATAGGCAGGGTTCCCAGCCAGGAAAATAAGAGCATTTAAGGCTTGCAGTCGAACACTGTTGTGGGGCAGCAAAGTGAAGGCTGCACGGCACGTTCGTATGAACTTCTGAGCTTTGCCACCCTGAGATCACACTGCTCTGAAAGCACGCTGTTCTGTTTTAGTTGGTGGTAGGCGTGGGACAGGCATACCATTGGCCCTGTTTCTCACTTAGCATTTCATCCTCTGCTACGCTGCATACTCAGATTTACAAGTGTCTTTCTTACTTCTCCTTATTCTTGCTGTAGACGTTCAACGAGTTTGAGATCGAACAGCACCAAGAATGTGCCTATGACCACTTAGAAATGTACGACGGGCCCAATAGCAAGTCACCTATCCTTGGCCGCTTCTGTGGCAGCAAGAAACCAGACCCTGTAGTGGCTTCTACCAACAAGATGTTCCTCAGGTTTTACTCTGATGCTTCTGTGCAAAGAAAAGGTTTCCAGGCGAAGCACAGCACAGGTAAGCAGGTTGCCTGCCAATACCCCAGTGAGGTAAGATGTCATCAAGTCTCACTGCTTTTTTTACCAGGCAAAACCAGGCGCGCTTTCCTCCCAGATAAGCTTAGCCTGAGTTTTACGTGTTTGTCTGTTGTGCTAACCAGTTCCCAGACCATTGTTGGTACCGTGCCGTAAATGCCAGCTTCCGTATCAGCTCAGACGTCGCTTGATGTCGGACATTCCTGATC